CCGAGTGTGTTTACGGCGTAGGCGGCGAAACGCTTTATAAAAAGCTCGTACGTTCTCATTGGCCGGCCGACTTTCTCCGTCGAATGAATCATCCACTTTCGCGTATCGTAATCCCGTATTTAATCCAACGGGATCCTCTGCAGAGAACTATTTTTTGCCAGCCTCATTGACCCAGCTCGTATATTATTTTACACGAGTATCCCGTGCGACTTCTTCCCGCCATTATACCAAGCGCGAATTCCGCTCGCCACGCTGAACACAGTACTCTCTGCCCTGGATATATCCTCTTGGTTCGCTTCGAATTTCCCTCGTTTTTCACCGCACGGTCGTGCTTTTTTTTTCTCTCTCTCTTTCTCTCTCTTCGTTTGCACGGACTCGACACATTGAACCGGCGCGACGACGCGAGCTTCTCCTCCGTTTTCCTCGCCGTGACGTTCCAGCCGCTCGACCGCTTCGGTTTTCGAATTTCAGTTTCAAGAAATAAGAGAGAAAAACAGAAAGGGAGTGACAGAGAAACACGTAACGTGTTTTCATCAAAATCCTTTGGAACGAGGCTGGCCCGAGCCAACCCTGAACTTTCCGAGCAAGCACCCGACCTGGTTCTAGTCGCGTGTTTGCTGACCTGAAACCAAATAATCTCTTCGTTGGCCAACGTTCGCGAGCAGTTGATCAAAACGGATGGAACGGTTAGGAATATTCGCGTGTATTTTCGTGCAGCGTACTTTTCGACTGCAGGTAAATCAATCACCTCCCGGGGCGAGAGGCGACGGACGACGATGGAAAAGGCATTTTTTGATATCCAGCGGATAGACGATTTTCGTCTGTTTCGACTAATTGGACTGTTGTTCGTTTGTTTCCCCCTCCCCCCCTTTTTTTTTATTATTTAGACACGAGTGTTATTTCGTGATTCGAGACTGTGATTCAGAAGGCGAATAATTTTAAGTCGAGAGAGAAAGAGAGAGAGCGAGCTCGTAACTTGCATCAGTTTTAAAACGCGAGGCCGACGAAATGTAATTGATTTTCGCAGTTTACGTGGATTTTTTTCAAATTTGTAATTCGGCGTTGGACTTGTTTGTGCAAGGGTTTGTTCCGAAAAGGGGATTAAACTCGACTCGTTGTTCCGGTAACTTTCGGCGTGGCAGTCGGAAAACTGTAACTAAAACGTTAAAATTCATCGACCGACCTAAAAAGCTACGACGACGGCCACTGGGTTAAGCACGGATTACATGACAAATGCTCGCTAACAATTTTATCTGCTATCGTATTTACGCTCAAACTGAATTATTTCCTCCTGTTTTCTTTTTTTTTTTTTTTTGTGCGCGCGCGCGACGCCTGTGATTTTCGGCGAAATTGCTGGGAAATTTGAACGAAAAAAGAAAAAAAAAAAGAATACCTGACAACCGATGCAGGGTATTTTCCAAACTGTAATGTCGAAATGGGGTGCGAAATTTCTAGAGTCAGTTTTTAATTTTAAATTTAAAAACGTCCCAACTCTATTTACATTTAAAGCTCTCAAAGTTCTCTCCGAATCTTTTGAACTTTGAAGAATGTCTAAACTTTCCTATTCGTTACCGACGTGTCAGATTAAATTTCCGCGATTACTGACAATTGACTGTGTTCTGGCAATTTGAGGAACCTGGCAAAGTAAGGATGTATTCTCGCTGGTGCGCACGGCATACGAAAAATAGCAGCGGGAATTTCTCAAAATTATACGACGTTGCATATTTCAAGGGCAATCAAGCGGAGGAAAAACATCGACGATTGTCTGCGACTCGTTTCGGAATAAATTCACTGGCCTCGGTAAAATATATACACTTGGTTTCCCCGACGAGAAGTCGAAAGAACCGTAAAACTAGGACTTTTTTGTCGGTCGCCACGCTCGTATATTCCGTTATAACAGTATGTACGAAAGAAAATGTGCACAGACGTGTGTATCATATACTGTGACAAAGTAAGTAAGAAAGAAAAAATTCCGAACGTTTCAAAATTTTTCCAATTGTATTTATTACAATCAACGTTGTTGTTGTAAATTGATCAAATTTTGCTTCGGACTTCCCGTGAATTCCTGAAATTTTCAGCTACTCTGTCAAGAATTAGAGAGCCGACGGGAATTACACTGGTCGCGTGATCCACGGTATTCGGAGCCCGTATTGTGACGAATAATAGACGGACGGTGAAAAGACATTTTCGTCCACGTCTGGTACATTTTCCGCAGTTGGTCAACCGCCGCCGCTTCGTTGCTTCGTTCGTATGCAGCGCGCGGCGTCCAGCTGCACTCGTTGCATCAACTTGCGCGGGTGTCGAGTGCTCTCTTGGCGGATGCACTCTTACACCAGGCGCCGCGGCGCCTACAGATGAACCTGCGCCCGATTTCTCTCCTTTCGTTTTAATCCTCCTCCTACCCCTCTGCTCTGCTTACTTACTTTACGACGCACGCTGCGATTTTTTTTTTTTTCCTCCGTTCGCGGCACGTTCGTTTCCGCAATCGGGCACGAATTGCCTTTTCCCGACGTCGTCTCTTCTACTTGATTCGTTTCCCACCCGCTGGGTTAACTCGCTTGCTAATTGAAAGTGTTTCCTCCGACTGTTTGATGTTTCCGCGCAATATCAGCCCGTTTCGAGGACGTTATCGAGTTATGCCCGTTCGTAGCGAAAAATGGATCTCGAAGTTAACGCGTTTCTATAGAAATACGGTCACTTTATCATCGCTTGTCTTCTTTAACGCTAGAACTACCAAAATGGCCAAAATGGCCAATTTGTAATTTTTGTCGAGTATTTTACATGTAGAATGATTTAAATGTATAAAGCACAGGTGTGCTTCATTGTATTATAATGTTTTCTATTTTGTATTTTACATCATTTTTTCACATCTCCGATGGAAATTTTCTGTTTTAATAGTGCCGGTGTTAATAGTTGAACAAGTTCTCGGTTGTTTACTCCGCGTGAAGAATAAATTGTGAAAGGGACGATGCAAATCATGTTGTTTGTTAGATCGTGAACTTTATTTTAGAAGGAAATCAATTTTCAGCCATGCGTTCGCAAACTAGTGAACTAAATTTATATAGAAATAGAACACGTGTTTACATAGAAAAATAGCTTACGCAAAAATGCTTCCTACGGTGGCTCTTTCATTCACTTTATCATCACTTGTCTTCTTTGAACAGACCCTCGGTTGTAGATCGCGAGACGAAAAATTTTGCAAGGAACGATGCAGATAATGTTGTTAGAGCGTAAACTCTATTTTAGAAAGGAACCAACTTTCAATCATACGTTTAGTTCACAAACTATGACGAGCTAAATTTATATATCGCTCGCTTTATCGTCGCTTGTCTTCTTTAAAAGACAAGTCCTCGGTTATATTTCGAAGAAAAATTCCGAAAAAGGGAATGTAAATAACGTTTGTTGGATCGTGAACTTCACTTTAGAGAGAAATCAATTTCCAGTCGTGCGTCAAAGTGGTGGAATTCAGTTCACAAGCTGCTGGTACAGTTGAAGAGAGTAGAGAAGTTAGAGTTGAATATATCCAGCCGTGGCACCGAATTCCTACCTGTTCCTTATCGATACGGGAAACCTAACGCTGTAACGATCGGTCACTTTCGGCGAATAACTTTCGTCAAGGGCTGACAAGTTTTGTTACAAGTTCGCTACCATCGAAAGTCACGTATCTTGTTGCATCGTCGAAAATATACTTTTTATTCTATCCGATGACCACGTCATTGTTTAAAAGTTACGCTCGAGAAGAATTGAATTCAGCTGGAAGCAGGCATTTTGTACCCATGTCCAATCCTGTGGAAACAGGGGGTGGGATGGGGAGAAGAGCGCATAACCTGTTCATCTGATCGAGTATCGAAATTGGCTTAACCTTGCCGCACTATCCTATCGCATTTCCATACATTCTGAAACTTTTCCACGTCGGCGTGGTTGCACGGGGAGAACTCACCAGATTTCTAAGCACGTCGTCTGGCACGTTTCTAGTGGAATTGCAGAGTGCCCTGGCAGCGCTGTGAGAGAAAATCACCGGTGCCCTCGTCGTCTGCAGGGCCGCCCTCATGGTCCTCGTCGAGACATGAGAGAGATCCACTAGCATTCCCAGTCTGTTTAGTTCCCTGACAACTGCCTGAAAAATAATAATAAGAAATAATATTTCACGCTTCTTTGTCACCTGTTCCTCTCTGAACCAGTCGAATGGGAACGACAGTCTTTCGCTGTCGCTGCGAACATTATTCTACCCGATATTCGACGTACATCCGTCCCTCCATTTACCCGAACGCACGTTTCTCTTTTTCTTTTTCTTTTTTTTACGCGGCCAGAAACTATATATATTTCCCTAGAACTTCTTTAGAAAGTAAGTATAGTAGTTTTAGAAAGTGTTTGTTTTCTACAAGCCAGTTTCTGATTACTCGCGACGTTCAACGTACGTCGAAATGAGTTTGTGCCAATTAAAAAGAAAAGGTCGATCGTTTTGAATTACAGCATCGAATAAAACGTCATTGTTATTTTTCTTCTTTTGACCTATGTGAAATAATATACGTATTTGTATAACTTGCATCGACCTTTCTTTCCCACTTTCCTTTCTATTTTCATTCGCGTAATTAGAAGATTAAGAGACGTATTTCTCCCCGGAGATTTTCAATTTTCAATTTTCAAGGTTTGCGAGATTGCTTAAACATTTTGCACGATGTTCTGTCAAATAGTCAATTGACGACGTGGCACATGAAAAAAACGTGTGAAGTAAACTCGCTTTTTATAAACGCGTGAAAGTGTTTGTGGAGACATTAGGAGAGTGCCGTCTCGTTAAATCGATTTTTTCAGAGTAAATTTCGGGAAATTTCACGCCGAGATCAAATACCACCGTTATTTCGCTGCTCGGTTTTATTACGATGTTTACGAAACGGCGCGGGAAATGATTTTTCGCACTTTCGTATTTATGGCACGAGATTACACGCGTAAAATCCAGCTGCGTGATGTCACGCAGCCGGAATTTCAAATTCGCACGCGCAATATTGCCGAGCGATATTGGATCTTAAGGGGGGTTGAAACGCATCACCTCACCTTAGACATTCTAATTTCTCCAAATTTCTGTGAAATTACGGAATTCACTTGAGAGGAGATGAAAGTTTTCCTTGAAAAGGGGGAACAAGTGACTTCGGCAACTCGATAATAATCGAACCGAAAAATGTCACGTTAACGCAACGTCTGTCGTTAGATCGTTAGTTTAGATCAGCAGCGTGGAATAATGTCAAGAAATTATACCGCGCGCGTTTATCGTTACCCTCGAGCAGATCTCAAATTCGCCGATAACGCCACGGTTGAATAATCGTCAGCGCCGCGCCGGTTCAAGGATTGACAGCCGGCCGGGTTTTGATACGCGGATTCGACCGGGGCCGCGCGTAATTCCGCGGACACGGTTCGAATGCAAATTCCCATGCCGGCCACCGCCGCCAAAGAGATTACGTGATTTTACAGTTTGCATTACCTTCCAACCGCGGCAGCAACTTCACTCGGTGCCGAACGGAATTTCGTTTCGAGCGGCGGCCACGCGTCGCCCTGTTTTGCATTCGCCGGTTTTGCCACCGACATTATAGAAATTAACCGACACAACGGATGACCGTGTACATTCTATTCTGTCGCGATACCGCACCCGTACACTACCGTGCTCTTTAATTAACAAGAACGAAGCTCGCGGAGCGCGGCATTGACCGCTACGAGCGCTCTGACAATTTTCTTTCTTCCGCGCTGCTATCTCCGCTCCAGCATTTTCCGCCCCGTCATCGTGCCGAAGCTTTTTCTTCCGTTTCTACGCGTGCCTCTCTGTCCCGGTTACCGCGCACCGCGAGACTCAACCGCCTCAACCGTGAATCGTGGCCAGTTCGTGAAAATGAAAAATACATGTACGTGCACGCGTCTAGCAACTCTGCCGACAGTGTACCTGTTTTAAACGTGTTATTTCGATGTCGATGGTTTTTTTTTTTT